TGGTCCTGTGGTAGACCGTCTAACAGAACAAAAACTTCCCGGTAGACCGTCAAGTAGAGTAGCACCCAGACAAAATATTGATAGTAAGTAAATGTTTTACCTCCCAGTCGACAGAAATTAGATCTATAAACGGAGTCGACAGTTTCGACTCTGTCTGTAACGGCCAACGCATAAGATGCAGAATACGATATCTCAGTAAAACAACAAAGTAGATAATCGATAAAACTTCCTCCCAACCCGGAATCGAACTCATGTCTGTTTCATCCAAGGTCATATTATTTCAAATGACTGCACTGTCTTTTTAGGCACTAGCTGCACTGATTTGACCTTTCTGTTTCTTGCTTAGCTTTATTGCTCGTGTGCTGTTTATCCATTAATAATTATATTTCTTTTTACCCCAATTAGGTGCAACAGGAGAGAAAATGGACAGGAGACGAGGAGAGGAGACCGGTGGCAATATTTCTAAAGAAGTCTAAACAAGGAACTTTTAGTCATTTTTCTAAGTCTGTGACCCTGTCCTTCTCTTCTCTCGGTACAGCACAGCAATCGAGTGTCTCTCCTCACTCTACTGGCGGTCAAACGGCTCGTTCCACATAAAACAGCGTGCTCTACAGGTTTATAACGCGACCAGTTTCTGCTAAATAATGCAGACCAGCCAAGCTTCCCCTACACGTCTAGAGATTGTGTTCGCATCGCGGCCGAAGAACAACCGAAGAGCTAAGGCACAGACACAAACACAATAGGTCGTAAAACGGAGAGCTGGCTGTGGCTATGGTTTTTGCTTACTCGGGCAAAAGATAGGACAATGATATGAATTGAGAGTTTTCCAAGTGGTTGTAGAAATACCTATCCACTGTCTAGCACTTTTTGTAATTCCTTGTTGGAGTTCTTGTGGTAAAATATGGGAGCATGGTGGTTGGGGTAGGGAGGGGAGAGGGGGGAGGGGAGAATGAGTCGTTGCTCTTACTGTCGTGGTTATTTTTGTAGTTGGTTTCGTTATTAGTTAATGTCCAATTCGGGTGCAATTACTGAAAGAAAAATATTAAAAATACGATGGCACGGCTCTGTGCTGGCCGGAACCCAAACCTCGCAGAGAAAGTGGTCGTAAGAAAGATTCCTAGCAACTTCGCCAACAATTTATATCACCCGGAAAAGTTAACTTTAGCCTTCCAAATAGAACTTATTTAACTTACCTTCTACACAAGGGACGGGTCTCTTTTCTAAGCGCTCCACATTTTGGGTCTCGTTATGTCCAGCGCAAAAAGAAAATATTTCAAGAATGGGGATAAAAATTTACTTTTACCGAAACCCTTTCTACGTTATCAAATAGATTTTATTTGGTGCACCATGATAATATCAAATCTCCGTAAATCGAATTAATTTCCACAAAATTAGTCTCGTTACAAAGGCTCGCGCTTCTTTCGCACTCTTTCTCTTTCCACATTATGTTACACTGTTCTGCAGCTTCAATCCACATCTTTGCACACGACAAACACCCGCACAACCACAACTTTCTTCTTTTTTTTAAAAGCATTTTACGGAACTTGGAATTTAGGTCATAAGTGCCGAAGATTCCAGCTTTACAAAAGAGTAAAAAGCACAAAAAAAGCATAATAGGAAATGATGAGAGTCAATGACAATCGATGTTTGATGGGAAAGAAGGAGCAAACCGCACCAGAGCACCCGCCAACCACCCACACAAACATAACATAAGCAACCAAAACTGCAAATATACAAACATACCCCGTCAGATACACACATTACTTATCCTATGTCCACATCGCAATAACACTCAACAAATGTCAAACAGCATTTCTATCCGCCAATACGTTCACAGCGCGTGAAATCCAATCTCAAAACGACCCGACAATGTTTAGAGTACAGGAAATCTCGGCACGCATTCATATTTCGAGCACCACAAATGTCACAGAGAGTATGTTTCCGCCCCAATGCTACACTTCGACAAACGTAAAGGTCGTAGTGCAGAAAGCGATCCCCGACGTAAAGAGCTTCGTTCAAAGAAGGAATCTGCAAAACATCTCGATACACTCTCTTTTTCGTATTGGAATCTCTTTGGAATCACTGGTGATTACATGCAGAGGCGGTATAACTCGCATTGCTAAAGGTAGGCGAGTTATGTGTACGTAATTATCGGAAGTATGCCAGTGAGTGCAAAGAAGAAGGGGGACAGCACAGGTATAGTATAATCAAACTGAAACAAAAAGAACTGGCTTGTGTAAAGATGAGGACGAATATAAAGGAATGGAGGGAGAGGGAGAGAGGAGGAGGAGGAGGAGGAGAGAGAGGGATGGGGAGAGAGAGAAAGCGGTGGGGGAAACTTAAAAACATGTTGAGAGAGGGAGAGAGAGAGAGAGAGAGAGAGAGAGAGAGAGAGAGAGAGAGAGAAGGAAGGGGGAGGGTCAGATTTTTACAAATTCCATGTCGAAAATTTTAAAAGGGAAATCAGATAAGACAGAACTGGGGGAAAATACAAAATTCATACACAAACAAATTAATAGTGTTATACATACAGAGCCTCATCAGTATGTAGTACAAACAAACAAAAAGACAAACAATCAAACAAAAACAGAACAGGGCATACACGATAATATATTATACCACGTTCTTACCAACGCCTACACAGGCATGACACTCTCACGCACATCGGAACTTAGATCTACCCCTGGAAAAAGGGAGCAAATCAACTAACCATAACTAAAACGCTGTCCTCATCAGCTGCCTCTCCAGAATCCCAGATCGATAATTCCACAGTAGAACGTTTCAATTAACCCACTCTTCCCGCTTTCCGCTCCCCTTCACATGAAGGCGACCAAAGAATTGTTTGGTTTTGCAGTCGATTTTCTTCCAGTTTATTAACACAAAGCTATTTACTTTCTGGATCTCCTTGTGTGTTTGCGCACTTCTGCTGCTGCTGCTGCTTCACTTAACACTCGTGGTAGTTATCCTCCCCCCTCCCCCCACACACGCCTCTCTCTCACTCTCTCTCTCTCTCTCTCTCTCTCTCTCTCTCTCTCTCTCTCTCTCTCTCTCTCTCTCTGTCTCTCCCCTTCTCACTCTTCTCTCCCATTTTCCACCCTAGAATCCTCGATCGTCTCTTGCCCTCTCTCTGTTCTTCCATTTTTCTGCCTTCCCCCCTTCTCTCTTCTCCTTCCCTCCCTTCCTCCCCCGCCTCTCTTCCTCCCTCCCTCCTTCCCCCATCTCTCTCACATCTCTCTCTCTCTCTCTTTCTCTCTCTCTCTCATTCCCGCGTTCTTTCGGATAAAACACCCAATCATAAAAACTTTGATGGACCACCGGAAAAGAATGCTGTAATTCATTCAAAATCACGCTCGCACGACCTACTTAAAGTGGGAGTATTGTCCTCTGAGTCAACAAACTATGTGAATAGACCCCAAACAGACCCAGCATCTCAAAACATAGTTCCATCGGTAACATCATGCGATATTCTAGCATGCAGGTGGGGTCGCTATTAGGCGCTGTTAAACGAAAAAGTTATGGCACTGTAAACTCCCAGACCAGCCGGTTGGGGGCTCATACAGTCGGCTTCACAATTGCGAGCTAAGCCAGGGTTATAGGGGCGGTAACTCATTATCTTCGATGTTCATCTGGTGGTGAGGGTAACTGGGCCCCAA